ACTTTCTTGCTTTTTCTAGGATATAATTTCCCTCCTTGTATTGAAGCTTTCCTGCTATTATTCTTTGTAATGCTGGGATTGTGGAAAGATATTGCGTAAATTTGGATTTGTCATGGAATATCTTGGTTTCTCCATCTGTGGTAATTGAGAGTTTTTGCTGGGTAGAGTAGCCTGGGCTGGCATTTGTGTTTTCTTAAGGTCTGTATGACATCTGTCCAGGATCTTCTCGATTTCATAGTATCTGTTGAGAAGTCTGGTGTAATTCTGATAGGTCTGCCTTTATATGTTACTTGGCCTTTTTCCCTTACTGCATTTAATATTCTTTCTTTGTTATGTGTATTTGGTGTTTTAACTATTATGTGATAGGAGGTGTTTCTTTTCTGGTCTAGTCTATTTGGTGTTCTGTAGGCTTCTTGTATGTTTATGGGAATCTCGTTCTTTAGGTTAGGGAAGTTTTCTTCTATAATTTTTTTGAAGATATTTATTGGCCCTTTAAGTTGGGAATCTTCACTCTCATCTATACCTATTATCCTTAGGTTTGGTCTTCTCATTGTGTCCTGGATTTCCTGGATGTTTTGTGTTAAGAACTTTTTGCATTTTGTGTTTTCTTTGACAGTTGTGTCAATGTTTTCCATTGTATCTTCTGCACCTGAGATTCTCTCTTCTATCTCTTGTATTCTGTTGGTGATGCTTGCATCTATGACTCCTGATTTTTTTCCTAGGTTTTCTATCTCCAGGGTAGTCTCCCTTTGTGATTTCTTTATTGTTTCTACTTCCATTTTTATGTCCTCAATAGTTTTGTTCAATTCCTTCACCTGTTTGGTTGTGTTCTCTTGTAATTCTTTAAGGGCTTTTTGTGTTTTCCTCTTTAAGGGCTTCTATCTGTTTACCTGTGTTCTCCTCAAATTCTTTGAGAGTGTTATTTATGTCCTTCTTAAAGTCCTCTATTGCCATCATTAGAAGTGATTTTAAATCTGAATCTTGCTTTCCTGGTGATATGGGGAATTCAGGACTTTCTAGTGTGGGAGAACTAGGTTCTAATGATGCCAAGTACCCTGGGTTGCTGATGCTTATGTTCTTGTGCTTGCCTTTTGCCATCTGGATCTCCTTAGTGCTACCTGCCCTGTCTCTGACTGGAGCCTGTTTTCCTATTATCTTGGTTGTTTCAGAACTGTGTGGGGTTGGTGTTACTACTGGGGTTAGAGCTGGGGCCCAAGAAATGCTCGGGTGCAGACAGGAAGGAACCAGTGCTCCGGGCCAGGAGTGAATTCCTGGGTCCCAGTGGGTCCCAGTTACTCCCTGTTTGGGGTGGGTGTTGCTGTCTCCTTACCTAAGATACTGCCCAGGTTAGAGCTCCTGGGAGGCCTGCTTCTTCTGGGATTTGTGAGATTGGGTGCAGAGCTGCCACCCGGGATCTGCTCAGTGCTAGGGCCCAGACAGGAAGGCCAGGAGTTATATTTTAAATGTTCAAATAAAAGCCATTAGAATCTCCTGATGGGCTCCCCTCTTTATCCTTCCTTCCCCTTTGGTCTCTAAGGCTAGACTCAAAGAGATAAGCCCAGAATTTGCTTCCAGGCATTTTGATAGTTGCTGGAGTGACTAGAATCAAAGTATGCAGATCCTACTGGGTCATCCCACCCCCAGTCCTATACTACAAGCCCTTAATCATGTGAAATGTGGCCATCATCCCAGGTTACCACATTTGTTGGTTCTTTCTTTGTAAATGTCTACTATGTTTCCTAGGTTTGTATTACCTGCAATTGATATGCCTACCTCCATCTAAGTCATTGTTTGAAAAACAAGAACAGCTTGGCATGGTATAATAATCCCAGCACTCAGAAAGCGGAGGCAAGAAGATGAGTTTCCATGAGTTTGAGTCCTACCAGGACTACAAAGTGAGACCCATATTAAAACCATGAATTTGCAAAATCAACATTCTGTAGTCTCTAAAAAGAACTATATTCCAGATATTGATCAAGCACTTTCTCTTTACACTGTGCTAAGCACGGGAAAATTAAAACAAAAAGTTCTTAGGAGCTCACAGCCTAGTGACAAACAGATACACAGAGTACACAGTTTATTGTGGAAGGGGACGGGAGCAGAATGAAAGCACAAAGACGGTCAGAGGCAGAAGTCCTTCCAGGGGAGCCGTGCTTTAGTCAGAGCATGTGGCCTGGTTGCCAGCTTGTTCACAGCCTGTCATGAAGACCCTGGCCACACTCTCTTCACATTTCCTTGCCATATCTTAAACCTCTTCCCTTTCGTACCCTCCCCACTTTGAGAAATCTTCATGCAGTCTCGGGTATATAGGTATATGAACTGATAATAAATCAAAGATTTTGAAGCATTTCCTTGGTGTATAGCTATAAATTTAAAATTGGTTAAAACATTTACATGCCAATGAAATAGATGTGCTTGTTTATTTCACATAAAGAATCAAATCTTGGCTGATGTTTTATACTGCGGGACATAGAGCATCTTCAACATTTTTCAGAGTTGATTGATACTTTGATTTCATAGCTCTCCATGCTAAGAGCACTACTTTGCATAAACCCATAGGGTAAAATGGCAGAAGTATATTTTGGACCATCTCAAAAATAGTTGGAAATTCTGTTCTAATTTTAAGCCAAAATTCATTTAATGATTTTATATGAAACTCAACAACTCAAACAGCACTTTTTAAAATCAAGCATAATATAGTTCAAAGAGTTACTAACTAGTTTGATACTTAGATGCTGAGGAGTTAACAGTAGAAAACACTAAAGTTCTGTTATCCTGTTTTCTATAAGATCAGAAAACACTAATTCATAACATAAAATAGTCTCAATCTAAATTGGGGCATTTGGAACACCATCTGATAGTATAGCAGGCATAATGTCATACAGTGCAAAGTGCACATGTTGTATGTTCTGAACTGAGACCGTAGTAATGTAACACATGTATTGCCAGAAACACTTCTGATCCATTACATGTTTGATTTTTGATCATTGCCCATTCAGAAGTCTTATAGTGTGTGTGCACACACACACATATGCACGTCTAATCTACGGTTACCCAGTTTGTGCATGTGGGGGGTTACTGTTAGACTGACTTTTATTTCTAATTTAATGGACTTGTTTACATACTTTACACAAAGACACATATCTGGAGGGGTGTGTGTATAGTAGCCTCTGAAGACTAGAAGGAAGTAACAGGCAGATCTACAGCTCTCATTGTAGTACCATGGTGAGCTTTGACCTGAGCATCAGATAAAAAGGAAGTATGTTGGTTCTAAGACAGAAATGATAGAAATGATTCCTGACCTGTGGTGCTGGGGATTGAACCTGGGGCTTCGTGGCATGCTAAGCACTGTGCCCTACTACTGAGCTCCACTCAGCCACACACAATCTGCTGACCTCTGGGGGAAAAAAGCAATAGTTACTGTTGGCAACTGGTCTTAAGGAACAGTGCTTCTGCAGTCATTAAAACCTTGAATTTTGAGGGAGTAGCCACATTACACTGGAGAGATGACAAATACTGTCATGAGCTATTTCTACTGTAAACATAAAAAACATTCCATATGAAAGAATTCTCTAAAATTTTGTTTTTGACAAATATTTAACAGATTTCATAATAAAGACTGAGACCTTATTTCCAAAAATGGAAAGTGTGTAATTTAAACTGAGAATGTGAAGTCTCTTATGCAGACCTACTTGTTAGATTTCTCTAAGCAAGGTTGTTCCCCAGTACCTCACAGCATTAGGTTGGCCTTCATCCCAGTTCCTTGGTAGGTTAGATCCATTTCTTATATATGTGATTCTGTGGCCTAGTAAACACAGGAGCCTGGGTTAAACTAGTTTGAGGATGGACTTTCTTTAGTATGCTGCTCACTGTATTCGGTGAGGAGTTGTTCCCTTAGGTTTGCTTGGTTATAGATCTCTCTTCAGTAGAGCCGTCCGTTCCACAGCTGCAGATGGGTCAGCAGATATGTGTAAGTTCTGTGAGCCTTCCTTCCTCCAAAGAGAAAGAGTAATGTCGTCACCGTTTGAAGTGTCGGGCCCAACAGAGAGATGTGTGCACATGGAGCATGTGGTGCCCTCCCTTCTCTCCGCCTCCAGGTGCTGGGACCCTGCAAGTCATGTTACTGCCTCATGAGGGAGGCGGAGGACTAACTACTTCCCCACTTCACCTACTCTGCCTCTCCCAAGATGACACCAAAGTCAGGACAAACCAGGAACTTTCCCTTGCTTTTCCTGTCATTAGACTTGTAGTTAACGATCCTGTAACTGCAGCTAGTTTTGATGAGTTTGGAACTCAGGGCTCCTTCCACCTGATCTCCATCGCAGTTACACTGTGAATGTAAGAAGGCCAATATTTGTGTTCTTGGAGTATAGTTATTTAAAATTATAAGCAATAAGCCTGGAGGTGTTGTTTCTAACTTGATTAGCTTTCATTTACCTAGGAATCCCAAAAATTCAAAAATGCCAAAATAACAAGTAGTTGTAACAATAATTTAAAAATAAACTGAGCAGTGTTGCGTTTGTAAAGTTATTCTTTTGTTTTGAGAGGCAGCCTGTTGTAGTCTTTGCTGAGTTTGACCTTGCGATTCTTCTGCTTCAGCCTCCCAGTGCTTGAGTCACAGGTGGTATGCACCACCGTGGCTGACTGTCATTTAGTTCCAATACTCTAGAATGATGTGCTACATTTGTTGGATGAGTAGAGTTTTCCTTTGCAGTGCACCATCTGAACTTGCTGGTTCTCTTTCCAGTAAGCCCCGGTATGCATTCACTCATGTTAACGCAGACACTGGACTTGTAATCAGTCTGTCTTTAGTATCTACAAAATGCTGGAAAACCATCAGGTTGAAATGGAGCTATTTTTAGTTTAGATGCCAATTTTAAAGGTGTATTGACATTATGTCTTTGGGACATATTGTGGGTGGGACTATGTATAACATGGGAGGTCTAAGTTCCTAGCTCTTGTGTGACAGATTTGCTAACGTATTGCCTTCTAATGTCCAGGTCCAGGAACTCCACGAGGAGGAGGCGCAGTGGGTTAACTATGATGAGGATGAGTTGTGTGTGAAGATGCAGCTGGCTGATGGGATCTTTGAGACCTTGATCAAAGATACTATTGATGTTCTCAATCAGATCAGTGAAAAGCAGGGGAGAATGCTACTTGTGTGACATCTTGCAAATAAATCGAACACTGAGTGCTAACATGAGTCCTGGGCCTTTCTGCCTCCTGATATACACCCCATCTCCACCATAACAAGAATGCTTCTGGACCTTGAACCTGTTCTTATGGACTGCTGGTTTGGAGTTCATGGGACAATATGGTCTATCTGGTATTACAGCCTTTGCCTTTACAGACTGTCCACTGGATTACATGGTTCTTTCCTGTGGGCAGGGCTATACTCTGATGTTGAGACTTGGTATCAGCTCATTAGCACCCATACCTACTAGGTCTCAGATGAGGGCTGAGAACACCAGACTAACCTCTGAGCTTAGACAAGGCTTGAGTCTGTCTCCTCATGAGACTTGAGTCTCCTCATCAGGAAAGAGAGGTATATAAATTCATCTTTTAACTTTGAAAACATAATCCTGGTCTACACAAACTCATAAGTGGACAGTCTAGTCTCTGAACAGTATTAAACCCATAACTACTTCTAAAATAGGCAAACTCAAGATTGTCTGCCTATTTTACATTCTGGACTTTATTTCTTCTTGAAGACCATTTTCTTCCATTCTTGAAGTTGAGCAGCACCAAGTGGATATCAGAAACAAGTGGGAGCTTTGCTTTGGGTACCACCTAAAAACTATAACCCATTGCACTGTGTTTAATTTTCCTGTCTGGGCAAAACCAATGCCCCAGTGAAGACGAGGCTCCAGGACTGCTGCGGGCTGTTCCTCGGCCCGAGTCCCACCTCTGCTCTTTCCTCATCTGTCCGAACCTCTACCAGCTGCTCTCAGAATCGTAGATACTCAGGACCATCTCAGGCATCCAGGCATGGCAAAAGTGGAAAGAACTTATTTTGGCCTTCAAACTTTGAATTCCCATCTCCCCCGAAGAAGTCAGATGCTGTTACTTGAATGATTTAGGAAATGAGTGTGTGCACCAAAGACAAGAAGATACTGTCTATAGTCTGCGTGCTTGTTTTGCTCTGTGGAATATTTTTAATTTATTTTAAGATAAATTATTAAGTTGAAAATGTGTGTCCCTATTGAGAAGTGAAAGATTCTCATAATTGTAAACCTCCGTCTCGAAGCTTCTACAGTTTAGTCTTCGCACAGGAAAGCTGCAGTTTAATAAGTCTATATACACACTGAAGAAGTGAGTTCAGTTCGTCAAAAAGACAACAGGCATTTACAGCGTCACCCGTGACAGCAGGAGCGGGAGATGACTTGAAAGACTAGCGTCTAATCCTGCCTTTCTTGCAGCCTTGCATCTTACAACTCTTACCTGTATCTGAGGAACATCTCCAGACTCCAGCTGCTATGTTCGAGCACATGGTGCTCTCCTGGGCCCTTAGCACCTGCCTTCTTGACTGGTTTCTCTTCATCAGTCCTGTCCTTCCGAATCCCAGAGAATGTGGATGATCTGAGGGGTGAGTGTAAATGCCTTAACCTTAACAGTCCCGGCTAGAGCAGCATGGTAAAACATCCGCTGGGTTCACACTTACAGACACCCTGGACATTATGGCTTCAAAACACATTAGAGAACCCAAAGACAGCGTACCCCTTCAGTATGCACGTTTGTTCTTTTCTGCATCTTCCTTCCCGACTTGCCTCTGCATCTCAGATGTCTCATTCTGCACACGTCACTCCTCTTGCGTTTCATCCTGTCATTACACAACATTTGCTGGAACCATCATTGGATATTTGCATTTTGCACAGTGACTGGTGTGCTAGCTCTTGACAATAAGAAAGCACTGAAATGTTCCAATTGGGTCTCCTGAATGCTCAGGTGGGTGTCTCATCAGCATCTCTTTTGTGCTTTTGCTGTTGAGCTGTCGTCTTTAGCCATAATGAGCAGGTTGACTAAGAGAAGAAAGGTTTCTTGAGGTTCTTAACCAGTAGTGTGGAAAATTTTCATGAAAATTTTCATGTGACCAATGAAAGCAAAGATAGTTCTCTTCAGTTTTTGTTCTTTAGAAGACAGGAAACATCTGTGTCTATCCCTTGACTGTTTGTAGGATCACATTGTCTTTATGATACTGAACTTTACAGCTGCTATAAGTTTTTTATAAATGAAAATCAAATTATAATAGGAATATAGGTTGTTTTCCATGTCTTCATTATTTGGACCTGAAGTTAATTTTTAATAAGAAAGTGCATCTTTTACTCTTTACATTATCATGCCAGAAAAGGAAAAACATACTGATATAAGTCCATGGACTCAGCAGTCTGGACAGTGCCGGGACCGTGGCAGTGACCATCCTAACCTCCTCCAGCTGTCTTCACTATCGAAGAATCCTGCATTCCAGATACGAGGCAGGAATAGACCAGTCTCTTCCTTTGCTAGCAATCATATCTACAGTTTGGTAGCAAAAAACTTTAGAGTTAACGGGTTTCTTCCCATTTTAACTATTTGGATCTAACTGAGATGGGTTTATTGTTAGGGTCAGGAATGACGGATGTGGCTGCCCAGCTACTCACTCGTTCCTTACCGGGGTCTTTTTAATGAAACCTCATAACCAAGAACCTAAATATGCCCTCTTTCTAATCTTTGCTCCCTCTCCCACAGCCTGTCCCCTCCTGTCTTTCTGCATTGATTCCTCTAAACGATCTTTGCATCCACAATCCCTTTTAGTATAGCACTGTCAGAACCTAGTAGAAAACCACCATGTAGGCTTCAGATTTACTTCTGAGTCCAAACAATTTGTGCTATCCAGGGCAGTTAACTCTGGGTTAAACTAGTACAGGGTATCGATTCCCTCTTCAGGTCTAAACAGGAATTTTTATTCTAGGGAAAAGTAGGAAGAGCTCAAAAGTAGTTAAATAAGGAAGGTGACTTCCTTCTGTGACTACAGGTCTCTGAGAAATTATCTTTCAAAAGAGATTGCATTGCTCATAAGAGTGTTGTGGCCTATTGATAAAAACAATTTTGTTCACTTTCTTGTCTTGAAAAAAAGTGGCCTTAGCTTTTTGCAATACTTGAATAAAGTGTGTACTTGCAAAAGAATTTCTGTAGCACAGCATTAGAGACTCATGACTTTTCTGCAAGAAATTCAAACTTCCATCTTCCTTTTACTACCTTAAGAATACTAGTGACTAAAACATTAATTCCAAGAGCAAGTGATAGAAACTACAATGACGTTTAATACAGATTGTAGGAATCTACATGTTTACAAATCATCTGAAACTGGTTGTGCAGCAATTCAATAAAATCCTTGTATATAAAAATGTGAAGAAAAATGTAAACTGGTGTAAAGGAGGTACTGTCATTTTAATTAACCTATGTTTAAAAGCTTTTCCTTCTGGACTTTGCAAAGCCTTCTCGGTTACACATTGCAAAGCATTCTCTAGGGGGCTCAGCCTCCTTGTGTGTACTGTACTGTGCAGACATGAAAAATAAACCCGTTTACTGTGTGTGTGTAAATAGCCTGATCATCAGGCCATTTTCAGCCAATAGTCACCCCGTGCAGCTCTTAGAAGTCTGCACAGAAGACTAAGGGTGTGGTTTGTAAGTACGCTCTGTAAAATCCCATGTATACCTGTGTAAATAGATTTGTTAACTAAAATGTACTTTAAGATGAAATCTGTAAATAAATTGATTTATAAATTAATTCCATGTCTGGTATTAATTTGTCTGCTCATGAGCCAAGTTTAGAAAAAACGAGTTCTTCTGAAATTGAATTTTTCTGATTTCTTGTTGTGGTTCAGGCACTTGTTCTGAGAGTAAGGGGAGCTGGTCCCCAGCACAGGAAGCCAAGCACCCTGGTCTCTTAACAGCTCATTAATTCCTCAGATAATCAGTGAGCATCTCCTGAGTTCTCACCACTGTGCGTCGTGCTGGGGAGACAGCAAAGGAGACAGACATGGTCCCTGGCCTTGTGGAGTTTAAAGTCTATTGAAAGAGCATCATCAAAAACACTTCTTTGAAAACCAGTGCTTGTCAAGCTGTCAAAGGCTGTAAAGGAAGCATGCTCAGGGAGGGAGCATGTTAAAATGGCAGGGTTGAGTCAGGAGAGAGTTCCCTGATAAATCTTAACTGATTTTGGTATTTTGACATAGGATCTCACTGTGTAGTCAAGCTGGCCTCAGACTTTGAACATATTCAACCCTCTTATTTGAGCTTCCTCTTTAGATAGGATTCAAACATGCCAGCATATCTGGCTTTTATGTTTGTCTTGAACCTTGAGGCTTCCTCCAACTCATGGTAAATGCCATTTCTCCCACATGACTTGTCTTGCTCAACACTGCAAAATAGCACATAAAGTCACACATGAGCGGGCCACACAATGACTGCATGTGGAGGGTATAATTTATGTCTGGAAACAAGAGCTTGGCGGGGAATGGAGCCAGATACAGGGATGAATCCAAGAATTCCAACTGGAATTATGTGGCACCCAGGCAGAAGGACCCGCCATGCTCTCACTGACATTCAACCTTCCTGATGGCAAAGTCTGGTGTATCTTTAGCCCCTTGCCTCATTAAGGAACCCTCAGAAAACCATAAGCCCCACATGGTAACAGATACCACCCAATTCACTAAAAATAACAAAAGTCTGCATACCTACCATGTGCCGGATAATGTGCTAGTGCTAAGAACATGTGGGGGGGGGGGGGGGGAGTGGCTGAGCTGCTGTAACCTTGAATCAGGACAAACAGAGCATTGGCAGCTAACAGCTAAGAATGGTGAAGGGTGCACAGACAGGAACTCCAGGAGAGTTGAGCAATCACATGCTAGTTGCTCAGAAGAGTGAGCAAGGTAGAGAGATTGTGTTTCTTTTCACAGGTGGCTGGGCTGTGTGGCTAAGATCAGTAAGCAGATAAGTGTCTGCCAGTGTATGATTCAAGGTTACCTAAAATAAACAGGACACAGTAGGCTTAAGTGACACTGTTCTCTTACAGCCAGAGAGAAGCTAAGCTCTAGATCCAGCCCCTGCAATTTCTCAGCCACCCCAACTCCGTGACCAGCAGATTTACAGTGCAGCTAGCTCCAATGAGGTCAACTGCCAGCACTCTGCTCAGGCTGCCCTAGGAAGACTTTCTCTTCATCTCTCCCCATTACTGACGAAGACAAAGATCTGGGGGCAGACACCAGAACCTAAGCAGAAGTGTATCATTGAGTCTAAAGCAGGGGGCTACTCCCCTAGCATAGGCTGTAGAAAGAGACTTTTCAGTCCAAGGCCTGTTCTTAACGTGATTCCCATAGGTAGGGGAACTGCATGTAACTAAAGTCTAGCCCTCACTGAAAGAGCTAGCGCAGCACAGCGCAGCACAGTGCAGCGCACACCACAGAACAATAAGCTCCAAGTGTAGAAGACAGCTTGGTCTGGTAGGACTTGCCTAGCCTCCACTAAGGATGATGCAGCTTGGGGCCAGGGCCTCCCTCTTACTTTGAATGACCTATTAGGAAAACCAGATCAAGAAAATGAGACCCTCCCTGGAGAATGACCTTCATTTAACTAAGGTGTGTGTCTGGAATAAGGGTGGTGGGGGGAGGTGGTTGTTGTTTTTTGGTTGGTTGGTTGGTTGGTTTGGTTTTCGAGACAGGGTTTCTCTGTGGATCCCTGACTATCCTGGACTGCACACAGAGATCCATCTGCCTCTGCCCCCCCCAATTGTTGGAGTTTAAGGAATAAGCCAAGTTTAAGATTTATTTTAAAGTTTTGAGAGACTGCCAGGTGTACAGCTGATCATCACCCCACCTGAGCAGACATCTTTTCCAGCTCTGTTTCTTCCCTCCTCAAATCATGTGCACTGGTGTTGGCGTAACACAAATGCCACCCTGTTCTGCCAGCAGACAACGGAGGATGATTCTGCTGTCCCTCGCCACCTTGACTAGTTGGTTCAGGGAAATTCCAAGTCATTGTGTAGAGACAGAGCCTTACAATGGGAGTGTGGGATGAGTGAGATTTCTGGAATGACAGATCCTTCCTTCAGCTGTGCTAGTTCCTACCAGAGTGTTGCCATAATAGGTGAGATGTTCCCACAGCCCTCCATGAGCTTCCCAGAAGACATTCTTGTCTATGACTTCCTTAGAGACCATTGCCTCTGGTGCTTGACCCAAACCTTTTAATTCCAAACAAATGAAAGAGCAATTCATATCTTGACTGTACTTGGCATATGCTAGAGTGTTACCCATCTCACTGAGACTGTGACTGAGTGAGAAGTCTTAATGTCCCATTGTTCTATCCAACTTTCCGCATGAGGTCCCATGACAGGATGGTCCTGAAGACAGAATTGCCACAGGTACGGTGTGAGAAGACCTGATCCCAACTCTGAAGGAAATATGTTGAAAAGAGTAGCAAGGTGGTCAGTGATTGGGAGTCTGTAACAAAGGAACTTATTCATCTAATGGAATTGTCATTTCCAAGGCTTACTACCTCCTTCTGCTAACCTAGGCCTAGTCCTGGAAGCTTCTAGCCTCTGTAGAAACTTATCTAGGCCTTCAATATTTTCAGCCTATGAGACTTAGAGTGGAATAAGCTCACCATTTCTAGCTGTTTTTGAACTCTGGTTGGCTGGTTCAACTCAGCTGTTCTGGCTCAAAATTCTCCAAGCTGAAGGACTCAGTTTGGCTTTTCTCAGTCTCTTGCTGGATTTTAGACCTAGGATAAGGGGCTGAGGTGCATATTTAACATACCAAAGTGGACCTGGCCTCCAGGTTCTCCTAGCATTCCTCAGTCCCTACCTCTTACAAGGTTATGGCTGGCATATCCTACTCTCTACCCTGAACTTTCCAGCCCAGGGACTGGGCATCTCCTCTTTGAGAAGCCCCTATATAATCCATAATCTAGACATTTTGGTCCCCCTCTTCTCTCTACCCCTCTTTGCATTTTCTCTCTCCAAGTGCACAAAAGCACATTCTTTCTCTCTTCTCTCTCCCCTGTTTCCCTCTCCACAGTGGCTTTCCTGGTCTGACTCCTTGGGACCAGTGAACTTGCCCAAAGATTCCCAGTAAACGTGCCTTTATATATTTCAATCTGGCTTGAATTGACTCATTTCACCAGCAGAGAATAATTTATGACCTCTGACTGAATTGTTCTGCTTGGCCTCAAACTAACTCTGGGAATTTGTTCTTATCTTCTGGCTCCGTCTCATTCTTTGGATCATCTGTCTTCACCTGTGTCTAGATTGCTCTCTAACTGTCTCCTTTTTCTTCCCTCCCTCTGTGCTGCTCCCTCTTATGCTGCCTCTCTTTCCTCTCTGTTCTTCAGAGAGGGGTGTATCCTACTCTGTCAATTTTTTTCTGATTCATCACTTTGTCTGCCACTCAATTAGACATCATTTTCAAACATGGGTGCTTCCTTCTACAAACTAACTTTACCTTTATTGTTTGGGACTAAAGGTGAGTACTAAGGGTGTATTTGTATTCCAACCAGAGGGATTAAAGTTGTATGCTAAGGGCTGAGCTACACCACAACTAGAAAGTTTTTTTTTTCAGTAAATAGCACAATCTCAGGGTTCACAGTGTAATCAAATATCCTGCAATAGGATTCCACAGGGCAGCGTAATGCATCTGCCTGCTTGCCATTCCCCTGCAAGTTCAGGCTTGTCTAACATTTTTAACCTAGTGATTTTTGTCCCAAGTGTGGGACAGTGTTTAATGTTCAGATGGCTTTTGTTAGCAGGGTTTTCAGTGTCTTTGTATACTTATTTGGTTCTCTGATCTTTTCACCTCACCACACCTCTTATCTGGGACAAACTGCAGAACCTCCATCTTATGTGACAAGATCCTGCCTACTGTGCTATTGCTCAGACCATGGCTGTGGTGTCTTGCTCAGATCAGAATGGTTTTTTGGTATCTGAGCATATGACTAAAGGAGTTTTTTGAAGCCATGATGGGATCTCTGGGTCTGCATAACACAGAATGGTGGGCTTACATTTGCATTATGTGTCCACTGTGGTGAGATGCTCTGTAATCTGTCACTCAAAGAAGTTTCACATGAAGAAATAGCTATGACTTGCTTGATATAGCCTACTTTGCCATGTTGTATGTCCAGGGCATGCTGGCAATGTCATACAGTTGTGTTGTATCTAGGACTTCCTGGTTTGTTTTTGATTTTTGGTTTGGGGTGTGTGTTTGGGGTGTGTGTTTGGGGTGTGTGTGTGCGTGTGAATTTTGTTTGTTTTAAAGAGGAATTCGTTTTCATGATCTGGTCTATTTTATATGAAAGGTGAACATTTGTTCTGCGGTAGACTAGGCAGGTAATCATGGCAATTTGCCGAGTACAAGTTAGATTAGTTTTTCAATGGCAATAGTTTATTAAATAGTTTTTTAACCCACTTTACATTTTTTTCAAGTTTACTTTTATTTGTGTAGAGAGGTAGGGGTAGAAGCCAGAAGGCCCTGAGGCTGGAATTACTGGTAGTTCTATGCCACCAGCACCACCACCTATACACACCTGGATGCTGGGAACCAACTCCAGTCCTCTGCAAGAGCAGCAAAAACTCTTAACTGTGGGACCATCTCACTCGCCCCTTCAGTTCCACTTTTTAGAAAAGTGTTTTTTATTGAGTCAGTGTATGGTGTAGGGGAGGGGCACACATACCACACTGTGCATTTGGTAGTCAGAGGACGATGTGGAATCGGTTCTCACCTTCCAGCGTTACATAAG